GTGACAATGTGCAATAGCCTGCTGCGTTGAAAGTTTTTCCTTCTCATAGCTCTGGGGCTTCTTATTCTTGTTGTTGTTTGTCCTTCGTTCTCCCAGGGGACCATGACATCAGGGAGGTGATGCCATGACATGCAAGTGAATTGGATTTAAGTGAGGGAGGGCTGTGCAAAGTCACCAGCCTCACTTTCTCCTCCAGAGCCAGCTGGATGCAGTGGCAAGATATAGATCAGTATGAATGGAGATGGCCCTGATGCAGTGGGGACCTTGGCCTCTTCAAGCTAAGGTCTTTCAAATGTGGGGCAATTGAAGCTCCTTTTTCAGTCCCCATGACAGAGTCTAGAGCCAGGGGTGGGGAACCTGCAGCCTCGAGGCCACATGTGGCCTTCTAGGTCCTCAAATGTGGCCCTTTGACTGAATCCAAACTTCACATTTGTTCTGTGAACTTTGGATTCAGTCAAAGGGCAGCACTTGAGGACCTAGAGGGCCACATGTAGCCTCAAGGCTGTAGGTTCCCTACCCCTGGTAGACCTTCAAATTTTCCACAAAGGGGAAGATATGGCTGGGGATATAGGGAAGTACACAGATCCTCTTTAATACAGAAATACTCTCTTTTGGTCCTTTATGGGACACTTTGGATAACTTGTATAATCAGAGAAGATGCCATCTTTCTGATCCTGCCCATCTACTCCAATCAAATTTCCAAATACTTTGGAAACAGAGTGAGAATCGAGAGTATTATCACCAGTTGCACCCCACCAGGGACAGTTAGCTTCTTGTAAAGAAGCATAGAATCAAACATTTTATTCAGAGCACAAAGGGGAAGAAAACAAAACTAAGAGCAAGACCCGATGAGGTTCTCAAAACAATTCAGTCTCCTTGGAGAATTGTGGTCAGAATAGGTGAGATGCAGAGGGAGGTAGAAGTGTATCCATGAGTATCTGGTTTCTATTACAATCTTATTTTAAATTCTAGCTTCAATACTCCCAATTCCTTAAGTTTAGTGGAAAGTGAGGCAGGAAACTGGGTTTCCTCCCGCTCCTTTCCATAAAAATTTCTCTTTTACAACTCAAAACCTCTAAGGAGAAAGCACAGGGAGGGTGTCTTGGGAGTGAATCCTTTCTTTCTCACCATTCCATTTAGTAATCCCACCCCTAGGATACCTTCTTTTCCCCAGTCCAATCCAGTTCAATGAGCATTTACTATAATAAGCAATACTATATGCATGGCATAGTGGATAGACAGTCAGAGTCAGGAAGACATGGTTCAAATCCCACCTCTGACACAGACTAGCTGTGTGACATTTTGGATGAGTCACTCAGTCTCTCAGTGTCCCAGGCAGTGCTTTAAGGCTGTGAGTTATAATAGGTCAGAAAAGGTGTTGATCTACATCAGTAGAGGGAATTTCTTCATGGATGTGCTTTATACCAGTAAAATCACAGGTCTAATCCAAAATGTACATGCAATGTGCTATGTGCCAGGGCTACAAAGACAAAAATAAAAAGTAGTTTCTGCCCTCAAGGAGTTTATATTCTACTGGAGGAATACAAAATATCACCAGATAATTATGTGGCACAGATAGGAACTAGACCTGTGATTTTATTTTTATAGGGAACTCCCAGATGAGAAAGCTTCTTCTACCAATGTTTTGGTTTTTTTCAGTCATGTTTGCCTCTTTGTGACCCCAATTGGGGTTTTCTTGGCAAAGACACTGGAATGGTTTGCCATTTCCTTCTCCAGCTCATTTGACAGATGAGGAAAATGAGGCCAGCAGGGTTAAATAACTTGCCCAGGATCACACAGCTAGTAAGTGTCTAAGGCCAGATTTGAACTCATGAAAATGAGGCTTCCCGATTTCAAGCCCAGTGGTCTATCCACTGTGTTACCTAGCTGCCCTCCCTATCAGTATAAGTTGGTCCTTCTCTGCCACTTACAGTCTTAGTTGCCTAGAACATTGAAAAGTTAAGTGACTTGCCCAAGGTTATAGTCAGTATGTGTCAGAGGCAGGACTAGAACCCAGGCCTTCCTGACTCCAAGACCAGCCCTCTCTCTTATCCACTATCATGAAGGGATCCTATAGGAGATAGGAAGCTGAACTCTGAAGGAAGCTAAGAATTCCAAGAGATAGGAGTAATG